AACAGGAAATGCATTTCTCTAGTTCTCCATTGTATTTTGTGTCCTGACACCATGAAACTGCTGTGAAAAATTAAGTTGCAACAGTAATTACACATCCAGTCAGTAAGATCATATTGCTTTAATAACTTTTTAGTGCTTAAAAATGAAATACTGAATAAATGGATTATGATTAGATTATGTGTCATACAGAAATACTGCTTATATTACCAGTGGACAAACTTCCTTCAAGGCAGCAGTTTTATTTTAAACACTATAACTTATATAGAGCATTTTAAATATTTTTTTATTTGTTTATGTATTTATTTTTACACAACACACCTCTGGCCCTGTTGGTTGGGTCAGAGTTTATTACATAGATTAATAAAACATAACAATATCAGTCCCTCATTTACTGACTCCTGTCTCCTCCTATCAGTCAACTGATACTTTTTCACCTTAAGGACCTTTGGAAACTCATGTTTTGGGCTTCTTAAAAAGAGGAATTTAAAGTAGGCGTACTACCATGGAGCACATAACCATCCATGCACCATGCCACCTCCCGCTGGCTTGCAGGAACAACTTTGCAAAGAAATAACTGGATGGTGATAGTGTTGCTGACCCTTTTTATGATTTTCCTGTTGTCATGCTGTTGCAAAACTATAGTTTCTTGCAAGAAGTGTTATGTTTTGGAGTGGGAGAATTGAAGGATTTTGATTGCATTTTGTTGCTGGTTACAGGATAGTGGTTTATGTAAATTATGCTTGTGTCACTGAGATGGAAGTGCATCTGTTAATAACATCAGCTCATTTTTGTTAAACATCCATTCTCGAGCACAGTCTTCACAGTGCTAATAACAGCAGCTTTAGCTTTGCAAACAGAGCAGTTCCCTGCACATTCATACTGCTGCCACATCAAAGAGATGGTTAGAGCAAGGTTCTGCTGGGGTAAAACCACAGTTATTATTCAATGTGGGTAAATGACCCAGGATCCTCTCAGATGACACTGCAGCTACTATGTATGCATGCATCAGACCATTGTGGATGCATATTATCGGCTACTTTATATTTAGTTTTTTTTTTAACCACGCTAATTAAACTGTGTAGTCATAGGGCCTACTTGGTGTGTCCATTGTGTTGCACCTCTGAAAAGACTTACTATACTTACTGTTTTTGGAACAGTCTTGACTGTATTGACTCATACTTTGTTTTACCTGTTAGAATTGGATTTCAGGAGTTGCAGCTGTTTTATTTACTGTTAGTATTATTTGGCTTCATAAGGATAAAGTTTAGTATGACTGTTTGTGTTTTATTAACAGCACCATGTATCAGTATTAACCTGGCTCTTATATATGCATAATAGCTATAATGAGAAATTCTTGATAAAATGATATAGTGCTATGTTATGTATTTGCAAAACTGTTCAAATAATTGTTTAATCTGTTTGACCTTTGGAAAGACTTGACCTGTGCCCATGAAATGCTTGTGAGGAGGTGCAGAGGCTCAGAGCAACAGGAAGTCTTGCAGATACATACTGAGATGACTAAACTGTCTGCACGAGAAAAGTGTGTGGGTGTAAGGTCTGATTGGCTTGACTTTAGATTATCAACATTTATCAACATATGAAATTCTAGGATCAATATTGTAATCTGCATTAGCAAATATATTTACAGGATTATTTTAGTATCATATGCATTATAATAGTATCATATGCCTTATAATCTACTTTTGTGTTAACCATTTCATTTGTCTTAGAGAGTGTAAGAGACTTGCAGCTGCCAACAGCAGTACCTGTAAAGGTCAGGATATTTGGTACTGAGAAAACGCCGGAAATAACAACACACACACACATACTGCCTATATGAACATTCTAAGAATATTGACGGGGGCAGTCCCAGCCCAGAAGATAAATGTAAACGTTTTGTGATAATCAGTGCTCTTGGAGACTTGTCATCTCTCAGAGCCCAGCGCTGTAATAGCTCTGCATTTAACCAGAAGAAAATACATCCACTTGAAGCTGATTCCTGTATCCTGAGTGTTACTTCTTGGGGCCTTCAGACAAAAGAACCGGGTTAGAATTAAAAACCACATGTATACAGCTTCACTTTTAAATGCGACTTTATTTCCCACTTCTTGCATCCTCCTTGTTTGTCTTTTACAGTCACACACTCATGCTGACATTTTAATTCTTTTCTCTGCTGTCTCATTCCCTCCCCTTGCCACCCTCAACAGAGCCCACAGATGGGGACCTTTATGGGTGTCTACCTTCCCTGTCTTCAGAATATTCTAGGCGTGATCCTGTTTCTGCGCCTCACCTGGATTGTTGGCACTGCCGGCATCTTGGAGTCCCTGATTATTGTCGGCTTGTGCTGCTCTTGTGTGAGTTAATCATCCACTGTGACCTACATAACTTTCCTCTTACTATACTGTGTTTTTTCTATCATAGCTTGAAGTGGAAATTAATTAAATCAAATCAAATTTATTTATATAGCACTTTAAAAACAGCATCCAGTTGACCAAAGTACTTTACAAATGACAATAGAATAATGAAAATAGAATAAATAAGATCAGTGCAAAAAATAAAATGGCACAATAACACAGACAGATGACACACATTCAATAAATTAAAATGAAAAGGAATGCATCAGGCCCCACTGTGTATTAAAAGCCAAGACAAATAAATATGTTTTAAGCAATGATTTAAAAGTTATGAGGTCAGTAGCTGATCTAAGATTAAAAGGTAGACTATTCCACAATTTGCTTATTCCACAATAACACGAGCGCACTAAGCAACATCCACAGGCTCCAAACCTCATCTCGGGGGACCTTAACCATGCCTCCCCCCCCCCTCTCTGCCATCCTCCCAAACTTCACCCAGTATGTTAATTGCCACACAAAAGACAATAAATCTCTGGACCTACTGTATGCTAATGCCAGGAATGCATACACTTCCGCCCCTCCCCCTCTGACCACAGACTGCTCTGTCTGTGGGATTGATTGTGGGAGCAATATCTTGTTCATGATTTCTCTGAAATGCTTGTACTGTCTTGTTTTTGGGTATTCTTGATCTGGTTTTCAAAGATCCTTGTGGTGTCTGTTGTTCTTATGGTGTCTGTTGTTTAGTCTCTACTGTTGTTGATATGCAGGGTTTTTCCCCATTGTAGAATTAATTGTGGGAGTAATATTCTTGTTCTTGATTTCTCTCAAGTGCTATGTTTTGTCTTGTTTTTAGGTATCTTTGATTTGCTTCCTGGAGGTCCCTATGGTGTTAGTTGTTCTTGTGGTGTTTTGTTGTTTGCTCTCTAATGCTGCTGGAACACTAGAATTTCCCCATTGTGAGATCAATAAAGTCTTACCTTACCTTACCTTTAGGGGCTGCAACAGTAAAAGCATGGTCACCCCAGCATTTATATCTGGCCCTTGGAACCTCTAAAAGAAACTGGCTTGAAGATCTGAGGGACCTTGTAGGTTTGTGCCAGTGCACTAATTCGGTGAGGCAAGATGGTGCCAAACCATCAAGAGCCTTAAAAACGAAAACCAGCAGCTTAAAATCGATTCTAAAATGGACCAGAAGCCAGTGGAGAGATGCCAGAACTGGGGTTATATGGTTGAATTTCCTAGTACTTGTCAAAAGACAAGCAGCAGCATTTTGCACCATTTGGAGACGAGTGAGGGAGGACTAGTTAACACCACAGTATAGAGCATTGCAATAATCAAGTCTAGAAATTAGCAGTGCTTTAAGACTTGACCACATTGTCTAATAAATAAAGAGAAAATGGGACAGAATGCAGTGTCTCTCTGCTGCACTTGAGTGTTTTTGCTGACATTGGGGTCAAAGCCTGCTTCAGCTTGTAGTGGCAGATGGGTACAAATGTTGAGTGACCCATGATCCCTTCTGTATTTGACGGCTGTGACTCTATGTGTAATCCCTCCATCTGGAGTGTCAGAAGCATAGCGACACACATACACAGTGGCTATATTTGCCAGTCCCACATTAGACAGTGGATTACTTCATCTTAATCGAGTACTACATCAGATTAATGATTTTTGCCTCCTAATGAAATGATCTAAAGACATAAAATGATCATTTTCACTTAAAATATGGCCAAGAATGACAAAGTGACCACTTTCCAGATAAGGGAAAGATTTCATGCATACAGAACTGCTTTACCTAGAGAGATAGAAACCATTTTATATATTACAGTCTAGATGTAGTTGCAGGAAGGAATTCCCCTCCACCGCATCACTGCTGTTACACAATAAGGGAGCCAAGCTTGTCCATGTTGCTGTTCAGTTTCACCACGTAGACCACATCTGACTTTGCCTTGAGTGTTCCATATCAGCCACCTGCTTGTACTGTAGGTCATTCTGTGTGGTCTAGAACCAGCACCAGAAACATGTAAAAATAACCTACAAGGAATTCAGTTATTCAGTTTTAGTCACTTATGGTTTACTCTATTCAGTTCAAAGCAATTTATTCTGTCTCGTTTGTTATATGTTCACCACAAATTCAGTAATTTTCTTACATTCACTGTTTACACAAAGAGCTGTTGCTGATTGTTTCTGGCTGTAACACTCAAGAGTTTACTCAGTCATGGGAAATTAACATTTGGACACTTTGTATCATTACTGATAGGTGTAGAGTTGCACAACACTCATCTTTGTGTCTATAAAATGTACAGTATTTGTGAGCGCATAGTAATGTAGTGTACTCAGAAGTCAGAGAGCAACTAAGACCTATTCTTATGTACATATAGGCATGTTAGTATTGTTTAAAGATCAACTTGAAAAATCCCAAACTACTCTTTTGAGTACCAGATGAGCCCAGATGACCTGTGAGAGTTGACCTTTCAACATGCCGGGCAGTACTGTTTCTACATTTTACATGTAGATTTTTTGATTTATTTGTAGTCGAGTCCAAGCTGCCAAATGCCATAATTGCTTAGGCTTTCAGTAGAAGCAGGAGGTAAAACTGCCAGGTAATTGGCTTTACTCCAGCTTGTCCTTTAAACCGGATGGCCAGCAGAGAGCACAAGGTTTATCCTGGCCATGTCCTTGTCCTTTCTGCCCTCTTCCACTTCCTCCATTTACCTTTGTCCTCTCTTCTTTCACATTCATGCATTTCCCCATTCTCTTTCTTTCACCCACTGTCTTTTTCTTTTTTTTTCTGTTGTAACTCTTATCTTGTGTCCCCCTGTCCTTCTCCCCGCTCTAGTAACAGGCTAATGTAAATATCATCAGCCTATAATACCCCGGTTCTTTTATTGGATAGTTCTGAATAACGAAGGAGTCCATCTTTCTTCATTTAGTGCTGATTTATTTTAAACCACAAGTAAAAAATTACAAAACACAACCTGGGTTTCTCCTTCCTCCAGACATCCACAGGCAGGCTGCTGGAAAAAAGGAGCCCTGGAAACACAATACATTTATAAGTTTTGGACTAACCCCTTACACAGATGAAGTCAGTCCGCAGACTTCATCTCTTATCTAGTGCTCCAGCTGCATGGAGCCACTGCACTTTGCCTACTGTAGTCATAACAAAATGAGGAAGCTCACTGTGTGTGTATGTTGTCACATGGTGCGTAGCTAAGCATTCATTCAGACATAATATTCTAACACAAGATTTAATACAAGAAAACAATTGGTGCTGTCAGGTTTGCTCGGCTGCACCTGCCTCTCTCACCTCCCTTTCTTTGTTTTTTGGTCCCTGATCACATCACCTTGCACACCTGCGACTCGTTTCCTTCATTTGACACCAGCTGCTTTTACTCAGTCCTTCACCTTATTTATACCCAACTCACTTTTCACTCCCTTGCCAGTTTGTTCTTGCTTTCTACCCGACTACCAGTGCTATTCCTCTCTTGCTATTACCGGTTTTGTTTGTATTCAGTCTGGTTGCCCTGACTTTTCTCCTCGGTCATTCTCCACGGACAGTTTCTCCGGACCATTATCCTCACCACCCTTCAAGCCTCCACCAGCCAGGTTGGTACACAGTCATCGGACTCCATCTACTCACCATCTCTGTCTGCTCTGTTCTCCCCAGCCATCTATCACCCACCGGCCAGACCGGGAGTGACCCTAGTGTCCGTAGCTCAGCCTTCCTCATCATATCCACCAGCCTTATGCTGCAGCCTTATGTGAATTGTTCATGTGTTCTGTTCAGGTTTAGAAAACGGAAATGTGCACTAGGTCAATGCAACCTAGAAGTTCATGTACTGGACATTTTTAGACAATGCTCAGAAGAAGGTGTGTGTGGGTAGCTGGCACGAGACTGCGTCTCATGCTCAGGCCATGGAAGGCTGTGTAACTGTGAGCTGATAAAAGGCTAGGATAGCTGGGTTAGGGGCAGAAGAAGAGAAGATGACAATGCTACCATGAAAAGTGTACTGTAGACCCGGCCCCAGGGGCCGGGGGGTACAACAGCTGACTGTGGGTTGACAGAAAGACTGACTGACGGTACCTCATGACCAACAACAACTGATGCTTTCAACAATCTTCTTTCTTTAATATTTTATCTATCTCACGGCAGGAGGAGTAACTCTGTACTCCGTTCTCTGTTCCCTATCAGATTATCTGTTTCACTACTACTCTATTCAGGACTAATTGGAATATTAAATGATCATTTAAATTGGGATGATTTGTCTGAATTAATTTAGTCGGCATCACACTCTAGCCACGACAATATCACAAATGTCTTTGTTATAGTATTCAAAAGAACTTTCACTCAGTACTGACTATAAAAATAAAACATTTCAAATTAGTTTGCAAGCAAATACACAGTAACAGGGTCCAAGCACCCTGGCACGAGTCAGACCAGAGCACCACTAACCCAAGGCAATCATGAAACCAAGCACAATGACCAACATGTCTTAACACACGGCCCCCTTTCCCCTACTGAGTTGCCAAATTTGCTAGTGTGCTTTGCTCCCAGAGCAATCCACCCAAACTGCTTTTCTGTTAGTAATGTTATGTTTGCAAACAAT